GTCTGCTCGTCATTTTATGGTAACGATTTAAAAAACAATAGTCTGCTCGTCATTTTATGGTAACGATTTAATAAACAATGGAGGTGCCCATCACTGGCCCACCATTCCCGAAACAAAGACTTGTTCATACCGGTCAACAATAGTCTTATGACGTCAATTGGTCGTCAAGGTAACCCGAAACAATACCTACCCGTCGTTTTATGCTAATGATCGATGAATAATTAATGTGCCCACCACTAGCCCACCGCTAGCCCACCACTAGCCCACCCAAAATCCGGCCCGTGCGCAACATAACATACTACTTACCTGTGATTCTCTCGAATTAGACTCGCTTAAAACTAAGGACACACGGTGCAACATTGATTGCAATTTTGCATGCAATTGATGTTGCGAGCAATGACACACGACGCAATTTGTTGCACGCAACGCTGCTGAAGTGGAAAACTCCCGAAAAGGTAACCCAATCCGGAGTAGTTTATTTAGGGATCAGTGATCACTCACTCGTTTATATAACTCGTAAGAACGAACTGGAGCTCGAGTTATAGAAATACGTCAATTTAAACATTTTAATCAAAAGGAATTTTTGGGAGATTTTGTATAGAAACCATGGGATCAGGTCAACTCCTTTTGTGATCCTAATAAAATGTGGAAGTGCTGGCGTGATCTTTTGATGGATAGCATAGATAAACATGCCCCCATTAAAGAGAAAGCGTGAAAGCGTGTTGGTAACAAGCACTCTCCATGGATCACAAATGATGTATTAAGGGAGTATAATCAGTCCGCTTCTCTTCTTAGTATATATTAATGATTTACCAAACTGTCTTACTGTAGCCAAAACGAACATGTTTGCCGATGATACTAATATTGGCCTATCTGCAAATAACCTAAACGATCTCCAAATTAGAACGAACTCTGAACTCTTCGATCTTAATTGCCGGAAAAAACTCAAGGCGATAACCATGTTTAAAACAATGCATGAGCTTACTCCAGTGTACTTAAAAGATATATATTCTACCTCGCAGGACGTCTTACAACTTACGTGACCATTTACGTGATGATTTATTCCGTGTTTAAATAACGTCTGTATGTATGTATTAAAAAACTATCCCTCTTCAGCAACATTACCTGCAATGATGCGCGCGCAATGTTGCACCGTGTGTGCGTGCCTTAAAGGCTCGTCCATTATAAATTAATAATTGTACGAGAGGAACTTGCGATTTCCAATACTAATTTTCATTCTCAAAATTTTCATTGCTACAGATAATGGGCTCTTTTTCACGCTCTTTTATGCTGATTTTAGTATTTAATGCTCTCCTCGTCTGTTTAATCCTCGCTCTCCCACACAAAGTACTTGCAAAGCATGCGCAGTTGTACAAGGTCAAAGAAACAGGATCACGTCCGGTCAGTTTTCAATTATGTGGAGATAACATTTACAGCGCCTTCAAGAGCATTTGCTTCCCCAAGGGTTTCCGCTTTAAAAGAAGCTGTAAGTATATGTTATTTGTTCTCTCCTTCTCTAACCTTAAAACCAAGTGCTCACTACACTACACTACGCTACACTACACACTACACTACACTACACTACACTACACTACAC